TGAAAATTGGTCCAGCCACTGTGGAGAACAATTTGGAGATTTCTCAAAAATCTACAAATAGAACTACCATATGATCCAGCAGTTCCACTCCTTGGTATCTACCCAAAGGACAGAAGAATTCTTCATCGGAAAAGTGCTCGCACAACGATGTTTATTGCGGCACTGTCCACAATTGCTAAGACATGGAACCAACCCAAATGCTCCCGTATGAATGAAAAGGTTGAAAATCTGATGCACATATACTCTATGGAATACTATTCGACCATAAAAAAAAAACCCTGACTTTTGACAGAAAGTGCAAGAATACGGAAGAGTGACTGCTAAGTGAAGCAAGCCAGGCTATGAAGGACAGACACTGTATGTCCCCACTTAATATATACCGAGTGTCTGCACTCTGTGACTGAAACTGACTAAAGGTTGTACAAACACAAGCGATAGGTGTGAATGCCAAATGTGGTGTTTGTGGAGGAGTGGGGCCTAAAGAAGGACATTTGGAGGAGGGATATGGAGACAGAGCATCGACCGGATGGGGAGGTGTGGTGCTATCTGTTGAAGATATTTTGATCAACTGGACTGGGGAGAAATGTTCACATATTGAAATGTTCATTTTGTAAGCTAAACAATGTGATTGAATGTATATAAAAAAATTTTTAAATGAATAAATAAAAATTTTAAATACAACATATAAGGCCAGTTTTCTTTAAAAGACTAGAATGAGGGGCCAGCAGATGCTGTACTGGTTAAGGTTGCTGGACTTCCCCCACATGGCCAACTGCGGTTTGACTTCCAGACTTGGTGGCTTTCTGACTTTCCCTCCCTCTCTCTCTCTGTTTCTCTCTGGTGAGCATGCATGCCCTATAGCAAAATGTTAAAAAAAATAATAATTAATAAAATAAATAATTCTTTAAAAAATAAAATAACATAAATAATAATTAGTGTTCTTAGGTCACAGTGAGTATAAGGACTTACCTTCTTGTTCATAATTTGCTATATTGCAAAATTTTTCTACAATTAACATGAAAACATATGGTTTTCAATCTACATATGCATATAATTTTATTGCACCTGTTTATAGTCTTTGGCTTTATTAAGTTCTTTCTCTGATCTGTCAATGAAAAGGCTTAGCTCATTTATCTTGGTCATAAGGGACTGTTTTTCATCACAATTTTTACTGTTTGACTTCTTGATAAAGTAAAGGTCATTCTGTAAAAAAAGAAAGTATACAAAAATGTTTTATATAATAACTATATTAAATACATCTTACATTAAACATATTAAATTATACACTCTTAAATATCTATAACAATCAGATGTTTCCATCTCTCTTTTCATACTATTTCTCAATATACATGGATATTTACATAGGAGCATGTTATATGTTATCACACATTGATGTTTGGGTTTAGTTTGAGTTCAGTAATTCCAGGGAATATTATGTATGGCTCCAGTTCAACCTAGATTATTAGGTGATCATCACCTATGAAAGAAATTATCACCTGATTAGTAGATCTGGAATCAGATGGCCTTAATTATGTATCAGCCATCTGACCCTTTTGAGTTACCAACTCCTCCTCAATTTCCCTACCTCTCTGGGTTGTTGTAAGAATTAAATATGATACTGTCAAGGAGTATGTACAATGCCTGATGCACAAAAGTGCCATGTAAGTGTCAGTTATTGTTACTATTACTGCATATACAATCACATACTGCTAGAGAGAAAAATGTGGATAAGGTATAATCTACCAGATACATCAATAGATCATATATATCTAGACAGCAGTTGTCTGGTTATTATATACACCAGTTCATATCCCTTTTCTCACTCAGAACCCAGAATTAGGCTTGTGCTCTTAGTTCCTCTTAGTTTCTAAATTAAAATTTTTAAGTTAAAATTTCTCTACCTCTGCAGTTTCTTCCACTCCTTCCTCCCTCTTTCCTTCTCTACCTTTCTTACTACCTGCATTTCTCTGAAGTATCAGGACCTATGACTGAAGCAAACTAGTAAGAAAAGGAATTTTTTTCTGCATAAAGACATGATTTTATAAAATTAATTTAGTACAAAGGAATTAAAAGTGAATGTGATATTCAATCTGTACAAATTAGTTTCCATTATGTAAAACAGATGGGGTGCATGGGAGAGGACATACAGAATGGATGCTACTATTCAAAAAAGTCAACCTTCATTATGTTAACTAACTAATACTTCTTTAACATTCACTTGCATTCCTATTATTTTCTTTGTGTCTCTGTTAAAATCAGAGATGGGATAGTCAAAAGCACTAGCCAACTGTAAGTTGGAGAAAACCGTCAAGGTAGTTAAAAGGGAAGAATTATAACCATTCCCAAAAAGCAAGACAGACACCATCCAGGTCTGAGTCAAGAAACATGTTTAGATACAAACGTCACCATTTTTTTTTTTATTGATCTGTAGCATTAATATCCTAAATAACTAAAACAATGCCATTTACTGTGTATCAACTAAATGCGTTGTATTAAGGTAAACATCATTTCCAGTTCTCCCAAATGCCCTAAAATAATATTAAATATTTTGTTTTCCATTTAATAGATGAGTAAACTGGAGCTCAACAAAATTAAATAGTAGTAATGGTATAACTTTGAATTCAAAACCAATTCTAACTGAATCCAAAACATGTGTTATTTTCCACTAAGTCAAGATAACAATTAAAACATTTTTCAGACTACAAACTGCTCCAAATCAAAATTTTGTCATCTTTTAAAAAGAAAACAGAGGGTGACAGGTGACATAGTAGTTAAGGGTGCTGGACTCCTACAAAGATGGCCGGTTTGAGTCCACGAGCTGGTGGCTTGCTTTCTGACTTTCATCTCTCTTCCACACGTGCGCGCGTGTGCGTGCTCTTGCTCTCTCCATCTCTCACTCACTCTGTCCCTTTCTGGTCAAATTAAAAATAAGTAAATAAATAAATAAATAAAGTTAAATTAAAGAGAGAGAGAGAAAAGAAAGTAACAGCTCCCTTTTATCTTCTGCAGCTCTCGGAATTCAGGGCAATGCTTCTTACGTCTGCAAGAGGACACTCACCACTAGTCTTTCTAGCCATAAATAAACATTTAAATCCTGACAAGTTTTTACCCCATCCAGGTCCACATTCTCACTCTGTCACTTTTACCATCAGTTAAATTTCAGGATAGATTTCATATTATAATAAACATAAAATCCTTTTTATTTTATTTATTTATGTAAATTTGACCAGAGAGGGACAGAGAGAGAAAGAGAGAGAGTGTGTGAAAAAGCAAGTCACCAAGTAAGGACTCAAACCACAGTCAGCTATGTGGGAATCCAGCACCCTTAACTACCATGCTACCTGCTGGCCCCAAAATAAACATAAAATTTTTAAGGACAAAAGAGCATATGCAACCTTATGAGTCATGTGAAATATCATAACTAATATTTAAATAACAGTCAATGATCCATAAAATAGCAGCTTCTTTTAGATGCCATTTTAAAGATAGAGGACAATCAAGTTATTTATTATGGCAGCTAAATAATAGAAAAGTATAATTTATCAATTTCTATTAAGTTTTCGTTTGTTCATTTTTAGAGAGAGATTTTTACTACAGGGTGCGTGCACTCACCAGAGAGACAAAGTGAGAAATTACCCCCCAGGTGTGGGGACAGGATTAGAGAGAGAACCTGAGGTGTGGGGACATGGTCTGAGCAAACACCACCTATCCCTTTGGGCTTTGGCAGAACCTTGTAACTTGTCCTATCTTTGATCCTTGCTGCAGACACAGCAAAGGGTGGAAATTGCTAGGGGCGTTCCAATAGACACATCTGATGCAAGTCAAGAAATATCTTTACCCCAATTAGCAAAGTCCAATCCCTGCTCTGCATCTAAAAGGTTCTTTAGCCTTCTCTGGGTATGGAGGTGCACTCCTTGTGAAGAAGTTCTTTAGCCTTCTTCCCACACCTACAGCTAGACTTCTCTCCATTAGAAAAGAAGATAATGGGACTTTCTCTTGATGGGATTATCACCAAGAGATACACCTGGCCCAGTATGACTAAGCCCTTGTAGATTTGTTCCCTGCTTCTTACAGTCTGTAACCTAGCAACGAATCTATGAAGTGTTGTGAAATATACATGTGTAATGTCTCCTTGTACTATAAATAAACATGCCCAGTTTGTCTGGGTGGCTCAAGCAGTGGCATAAGTTGCTTGGGCTACCTAGGCTCAGGCTGCCTGTGTCCATTTCCACTCTGTCTCTTTGTCCCATTCTTTCCAATTCCCTGGTCCTCTCAAGATGAAGGGCTTCCTCTTTCTTGTCCTCTTTCTCTTCCTCACCAGCAGCTCCCTAATCATGATTCAGCTAGAGTCAAGCCCCAGGGCAGACACTGACACCCAGGGAAGATGGCCATACCACAATCCCTTCTCCAGTCTCCTCTTGGGGTTTAGGCCACACATGCACACACACTCAGGGTGACTTCGAAGTCACCAGGTCTGGTCGACCATGTGGGAGTCCAGCAATGTAACCATTACACCATCTTCTGGTCCTTTTATTAAGTTATTCTTAAGTCAAATGGACCAGGGATCAAATCTTAGCTCTCTACACACTAACTTTGGAGAGATACAAGCTACTTAATCTGTAAAACACATTAAATCCCTCCTCACAAGACATGTGTAAAGAATTGGCATGAAATGAAATAAAATACTAGAGGCATATAATATTTAGCATATAGTAAATGTTTACTGAATGATAATACTGCATTCTAATGGTCAGTATATAAAGATGAACATTTGTTAAGCCATGTGTCACCCAAAGTAGTCTTAGGAACAAGCTAACTTAAAACAATGACTAATAACTAGGCTATTCAAAGGATAAAAAGTATTTTTGTCTAAGTTACATGAAGCTTCTTGATCTGTAGTTCCAAAAGACCAAATGTAGATTTTTTCTCTTCCAAGGACTTCTTAAGTTCAACAATTTTTGCTTCAAGGGCTTGCTTTTCTTCTGAATTAATTTCTCCCTTTAACCGTGACATTCTCCGTTCTACTTGTTGAATGTAAAAATCCTGTTATAATTTTTAAAAAGTAGTAAAAAAAATAATTAAAAGTGTCTTTATAAATGTAAAAACACAGTGCATACTTTTTTATGAAACTTGTCTGAGCATAATTATTTAACAGTCTTTTTAGTCATCAAGTAATTCAGGGAAAATCCTTCTTACTCTAAGGGATGCAAGTACAAACCATCCTTCAACAATCAGGATGCTTGATAGCTACAGAGACGTGATCTCCTGAAAATATAACAAAGTCAGTGGGTGTTTATCATACTACCATGATGGAATCTCAGTAAGTCCAGTGAGTTTAGATGTTTATGGATTTTGGGAGGTACATTTTCTAATGGCTGCAAAAAGGAGAGTCACAAATTGTTAGCCATGAAAGGCTCAAATATGACCTTACAATGAATTATTTTTTAAATTATACTTTAGCATCTATAATTCTGAGAAACTAAGAATATATCGGGTAAAAAAATTAAGATGTAGAGAGGGAGGACATTAAGAAATTAACATAAATATATAAAGAGGACAAAATAAAGAAAAAAGAGAAAGTCCTTTCTTTTTTTTTTTTTTTTAGGTTTGTGTCATAGGGCATGCGTGCTCACTGGAGAGAGACAGAGAAACAGAAAGTAAGAAATCATCCCCCAGGGGAATGGTCATGCTGCAATCCCTTTTCCTCTATTCTCCTCCTGAGATTTTGGGCACATATGCCTGGCATGATTTTTAAGCTACCTGGTCCAGGACTTTAACTGTAGAGTCAGCCTTGTGGAAATCAGCACCTTAACTACAGTGCCACCTGCTGGCCGCAAGAAAATATTTTACTTTACTTAAGGGTGCCTAACTAAGAACCAATATACAATTTTTTTAAGTTTCTGAGATCCCATACTTTCTTTGGTTTTACTGTGGGTCCATTTACCCCAGATTCCTTTAAAACATGGTTCTCCTTTACTAAAGTTTTCTCTTCTCTTTTTCATTTATTTCAAATTAAGATGAAAAACTAGCTCTTAAGGCTTCTCCACCTACTACTAACCTAACTTGATATTCTACCTCAGCATCTCTCTAACCCTCCAAAACAATCCTTAGAATAATCTGTGTTTTCTTAGGACACCGGGGTATCTTGACCATCACAACTAAAACAAATCATTATGAAAGATATTGACAAGAGTAACATTTACCTGACTGTACATAATTTGTTGCTGCTTCAAGGTTTCAAAATCCAGTCTATGTAACTGACAGTTGAGATGTTTTAGAGAGGAACGGGTTCCTTCAATCTCTGATATAACAGCTTTTTCTTTCATTGTCTCAGTCTGCAACTCCTGAACTTTCTTAAACAGCACATCTTTCACTATGTTCAACTGAACTTCCACATCCTGAGAATAAGAATCATAGTGATTAATGAAATTATAATACCTTGAAAAGCTTTTTTGTATGAACATTCTCATTTATGAGTTCATAAATACAGTGAAACCACCGCCCCCCTCCCAGCATTTAAGCCTCTCTCACAATTTCAGCAAATCCCCAATATTTTTTACTCTATTGTAATAGACTAGGATAGTATTGGGTCATCAGCAAAGTCATGATTCATTTTTGCATAGAAAAGTATTTCATGACTTTTCCAATGACCCAATAATAGTTTTCTACTCTTGTATCATGCCCCTTGACCTGTCATCTTAATTTGATCCCACACTGTCTTGGCCTCAGAACTGGGTTCTCTACTGGTTTCCTCAGAAAATAAAACCCACTGGAGACATAAAATTTGGACATTAACAAAGTTTATGAAAGTCACAAGGGTGTCACAGGGAATAAACCACAGTAAGACAGGAGATAGACTCCATTACACACAGAGTAAGGATATAGCACATGATGGAGTAACCAAGTTTTCATTAGAAATCATTCACTGGAAACTGTACACAGCTTGCTAACATAAGAAACTGCTTGTATGAAGGACACAGCTTACAGTACTGAGTAACTTAGCTATAATTTGCAGCACCAATGTTATGGCCCTTGTGGCTCAAAGGCACAAGACAAAGAATGCAGATCCGTAAGGTCAGTTAGCCCCACAGAAAACTTTAGCAATAAACTACTTCAATTATCAATTTTCAAAAGGAAACAAAGAATACTATGTCATAAACAATTCTTAACTATTTTTTAAGCCTACTTCCTTATTAGAAAGCCAGCTCTTGCTCAGACTGCTAGATAAAAATCCCCAAGTCAGCAACCCATTTGGGACTTCTCCCTGCTTGCGAGCTTGTCTTTCTCTCAATAAACTCTGCTTCACTATCTACTCCTGTTGTCTGTTTCCCTAATTCTCCATGAGCATGAAACTAGAACTTCATGGCCCTGAATCTAGCACAGGCACTGGGTCCATGCCCCCAGATATCCCATGTAAATATCACCCACACTCTCTCCTTCTTTTGGGCACTATCCAGCAGAAATCAAGTATACTTTTTTTAATATTATTTTCTTGGTTAAGTTTATTTTTTAAAATTTTCTTTTTATTTCAATTTATTTTACACATTCAATCCCATGTTACTTAGGTTACAAAGAGAATATTCCAACATGTGTTCATTTCTCACCAGTCCAGTTGACAATACTATAAAGTTATCATCAATAAATAATAATCCATTTCTTTGTCCCATAAATGCCTTGCCTCTCTATTTTTCTTGTTAACATCCTCCTTCAGACTCTACTCCTTCACCTGCCCTCTTCCCACACTGTATCTGATATTCACAACCATTTACTAAGTTTCTATAACCATTATTTATTCACTTTCTGCTATAGAGTATGGACATTCAGTATATACTAAATGGAGACATGCAATCTCTTTCCTTCATAGCCTGGCTTGCTTCATTCAACAGTAAATCTTCCATATTCATCCATTTTCTGTCAAAAGCCAGTATCTTATTACTTTTTTATGGCTGAGTTGTATTCCATAGAGTACATATGCCATACTTTTCAATACATTCATCTGTTTGTAGGCATTTGGGTTGGTTCCATGTCTTAGCAATTGTGAATAATGCTGCAATAAACATCAATGTGCAAGCACTTTTCCAATTAAGAATTCTTCTGTCCTTTGGATAGATACTCAGGAGTGGGATTGCTGGATCACATGGTAGTTCTATTTGTAGATCTTTGAGGAATCTCCAAATTGTTCTCCATGGTGGCTGGACCAATTTACATTCCTACCAGTAGTGTAGGAGAATTCCCCTTTCACCACACCCCCATCAGTACTTATCATTTTACTTTTAAACCATCAGTTCTCTGGGGGGGTTAGGGGAAGAATCTGATTTCCATGGTATACATACTCCCAATATGGCCCATTTCAAGGTACTAACAGATTCTACTAAATGCAGAGTTGGGAGGAGAGATACAGATGCAGACCATTATGTAGTATGTCCAACATACAGATGAAATAAATGTAAGTAATCTTAGGTAACCTTAAGGACATAGACAATAATAAGATAATTTTGAAGTGATTATTACTCTTGTTTTAAATATAATTTATTTAATTACAGTTAAGTCTATAGAATTTTTTTTTAAATGAGAGGAGGGAGGTGGGGTTTTTTGACAGGGTCTTACTATTGTGATTCTCCAGACCCTGCCTTCCAGTTAGCTAGGATTATAGGCACACATCACCATACCTGGCCTATTTAGATTGGTCTGGGAACTCAACATGGGCCTCCCATGTGGCCCTAGCATCACACAACAGCATCCTACTGCTTATGCCAGTATGACTAAGTCTTATAAAATTTAATTTTTAACAGTAGCTATATTTAGCAGCCAACTTACAAAGTTCCTGATAATGTAACCACTGGCTCCAGCATACTATTGGCACAACTTGTCACTCACACTTCGCTTCCAATCGGCTTTCCCACCGTGTGCAGTCCTCTCAGTAATAGAAACAAGTCCCCCCTTCCTCTTGCTTTTCTCTCAGATGACAGATCTGCCATGACTTCTAGGTTTTTCATAACCAATGTATTCTAAGCTTCAAAGAGATCTACTATACGAAGCTCAATTGAAAGTAATCATTTTTAAATGTTAAAATAATTTTCCTGTGTTCCTAAGCCCCCATACATATATTTCCCTTTGGCAGCCAATGAACTTCCATATGAAACAAAAGAAATCTGTGACTGGTACATTTAAATCTTCAAACAAGAAATATAATCTGATACTGAGTACATTTTTTTCATATAATATACAATTTACAATGGGTTTAAGGACATCTCAAAGATTGCCTGACAGAGTTTTAAAGTCAGTATCTCTGAAAAAGATGATTGGGCTTTTATCAAAACAAGCAAAACCCAAAAGCAACAAAAACCAAGATTATGAACCCAGACCTGCTGGAATATGATCAGTACACCTGCTGTCAAACTTTTCATTTCTGTGTGTATATGTGTGTAACTCAACTAATTTCCTTTACAATGTCAGAAGTTTTCAGTTCTCTGATAAGAGGAGTCTATTCCACATAAATTTTATAGTTTTTTTCAGGTTTCTGGTTAAGTTCTAACACTGTCCATCTCATGAACTGTAGAAAATCATGCTCTTGGGGGCAAAATGGCTGGCCCTCAGTGAGGCTCTGTCAAGGGTTGAAAAGTAGTTTGTCTAAAAGCAGATTTTAAAAGCAATTTATCTTCAAAGAAACTTTTTTTTTGGTACCACCTAAGAAACATCTTGATATACCATGGCAGTAGCAGCAATAAAATGTGTGAAATCAAAGACAGCTATCTTGAAACATTTGCTTCCAACGCAAAATGTACCTTTGTATCATGTTTGTCATAAATTTATGTATTCTTTTCTTCTAAATGACTATAATTGCAAAGTTGATCTTGCTTTAACATTTGATGGCAGGATAATACCATGCTACTACCCATCTGTGGACATTCAATATGAACACACAAAACCTGTCCCTAGACCAAATCCTGTGCAGAATAACGAAGAAACACATGCTCAAGTGCTAAAAAACAGAATAGAAGAAAAAGGTAAACATCTTGAGCAAGGACCCATGATAGAACAACTTGGCAAAACATTGGTATCCTGATGGAGAGCACTATAGACATTGTAAAAGAGAGAACACTGACTTCTCAGAGGAATCATAGAAATGTGCCTCATATGTCATTTGAGAAAATTGAATGTGGTGTATTCACTAATATGAAATAAAATAATAACAATAAAATTTTTAAATATATTTTGAAAAAAGAAAGTCATGCTCTTAAGCAGGGGGAAAAAACTATTTTTTAACAATGTTGTCCCACATAGATTCAAATATCACTCAAGTCAAGATTGCTGCATGACTTCATTACTCAGGAATTTTTCAATACACAGAGAAAGAATAAGTGGAGCCATATTTGATAGAAGCCTCATAAAATGCTGAAGATCTTTGCCACCATCTTTAGCTACCCCTTCTCTCTGCCCTCCAAAAAAGAATAAGAACAAGTATTTTCTACAGTATCAGGTCATACTTATAGGTCACTTTGAAGTTTTCAAAGAAGAAATGATGAACCAGCTTTTTTCAGTTCCTCAGAATTGGCTTTGTGCCAGACCTGTGGCATAGTGGTTAAAGAAGCTAAATCCCACACGGCCAACCATTTAAATCTCTGTTTGGTGGTTTAAGAAACATGCCAGGTATGTATGTGTGTGTGTCCAAAATTCTAACAGGATGGAGAGATAGAAGAGAAGAGATTGAAGTATGACCATGCCCCACTGGAGGATGCCTTTTCTCCCTCTTTCTCTGTCTCTCTGATGAGCACACATAGGCATGGAAAGTAATGGAATTCCATTTATGAGGCAGAGTAAAAGGGCTGCCTTTAAAACAAAGACATCAAAATTAAATGTTGATAGTTGGGCAGATGGAGAATTAATAATTTTAAGAGGTTGAGAAAATCTTTAGAACAATACATAGAGACTCAAAACTATTAGGTCGTCAGGAAAGTCATGACCTATATTTGTTTTTTGTTTTTTTTTTTTTTTGGAAAGGTTTTTTGACAGGTTTTTGTTTTTTTGCTATAGGGCATATACACTCGCCAGACAGACAGAGACAGACAGACAGAAAGCGAGAACCCCCCCAGGAGGGATGGCCATGCCGCAATCCCTTCTCCTCCGTTCTCCTCTTGGGATCTTGGGCACACATGCACACGCACACGGTGTGAGTTTTAAGCCACCAGGTCCAGGATGCGAACCGCAGTCGGCTACATGGGAGTCCAGTGACATAGCCATTATGCTAATTGCTGCTCCCTCTGTTTTTCTATGCAAAAATGTGTCATGACTTTCCAGATGACCCAAAGATTATAACTGTGATTATACTAAAAAGCAGAGCCTCATACAAAACCTCCTAGTCATCTGATCCCATGAGTCTAATTAATATACTTCAGGTAAATTTGCTATATTATTTTAAAAACTAAAACTACACTTTACCTTTACACTTTTTTCCTCCTCCTTTAGCCTATCTTCCAGATTGGTAGCTTTCTCTTCTACCGACATGGTTTTCTCAGTTATCTGCTTTAAATCTTTTTTTATGACCTCATTATGGTTTTTCATTTTGTGTAACCTAAAGAGGGTTTATGAGAAAATGATAGAAAATCTGACTAAATTACATTTAATGCAAACAAAGAATAGTTTATCCTAAGATTTACATAATTTAAAAGTTTCTGTTGCTTCTTATTACCTCTATATACTTAATAGGACATAAAAATATATATTTTTTTTTGGGGGGGGGGGGGTTTTTGCTATAGGGCGCGTGCACTCACCAGAAAGACAGAGAGATATATATAGAGAGAAACTGAGAAATCACCCCTTAGGGGGGATGGCCACGCCACAATCCCTTCTCCATTCTCCTCTCAGGATCTTGGGCACGTACTCACATGCGCCCAGTCACCGAGTCCAGGACTCGAACTGAAGTCGACTATATGGGAGTCCAGTGACATAGCCATTACACCAACAGCCAACTCTCAGATTCTTATTTTTTTTTTTTTATGTTTAAAAATATAGTAGTTGTGTCAGTCAGTTGCATGGTGGCTAAAGCACCTGGATCCCACATGGCCAACTTTGCAGTTTGAGTCCCAAACCTGGTAGCCTGAAAAACATGCTAGGCACCTGTGCATGCATGCTCAAAACCTCAAAAGGAGGAAAAAATGGAGAAGACATGATTGTGATATAACCATCCCCCATGGGGGATGCTTTCTCACTCTCCCCCCTCTCTTGTCTCTGCCATCTCTCTCCACCCTCTAACAAATTTAAATATATATATTTTATATACATATTATATATATATATATACAAGTATGTATATATAAATACATACATGTATATATGTATGTATAAGAGATACACATATATGATGTAGGATATAAGAGATACATAAGATATATAAGAGATACACACATATTATGTACATATATTAGGTTAAAGGGAAAGTCATGATGTATTTTTCTATGTTTTTCTATGCAAAAATGTGTCATGACTTTTACATAGTAGCTTATGTGTTATCGTCGACAAATAATTATTAAGGTAATATCCTTGATTAAACCAATATACAGTGTATTCTGGATGAAAAATTTCATTTTGTATACTGTGATGATATACAGTGAATGAATATAAATAAATAAATTTAAAATAAAGTAATAATAAATAAAATATAGTAGCTATAATTCTGCAATTATTAAATCAAAAATAATCTTAAATACTTAATAATTTTCTAGAAGTAGTAAAAAAATCTTAAATATACTTAAATAGCTTTTTCTTACCTTGCTGTTTCTTCATGAATATCCTTCTTTATTTTGGAAATATGTTTTCTCAAAGCTTCTAGATCACTGGAAGTTCTATTCACAGTGGCTTTTAAAGAATCCAGCTATTTATTAGTTAATAGAAATATTTATTTACATTAGCGCTTATAAATTAATTGCATTTATGAAAAGTTCTACTCTTTCCACTCTTAAGGTTTTTTTTAAGTGTTTAGAGATGGAATTTTATTTTAAAATTAGAACATACGGTGAATGTGCTAACTCGCATCAGACCTTTTGTATTTCTGGTTTTGTTTTGTCTCTAGAATCATGTCTTACCACTGTCAGGTATCTTCTGCTTCCAGCCAGCCCCTCGTACAATTTCTGACTTATAACATCTATATGGCATCAATCTCTTTCTCTGATCCTCTCCTCTCTCTTTCTGGAATATTCTAACAGTAACTCCCTACTGAGATTTCCTTCCTACCATCCAACATGTGTCCTCCTGTTCAGCCTCTTTCATAACTGTATCATATACTGGAGGCATCTGGGACTCTTTGGCTTTTCTTCACAATCTCAGTTCTTTTAGCTTGTTCTTTTAGATTTTACATTTTATTTATTTATTTTCATACATTTAATCACTGCCTAGCTTGTTCTATTAAACTGTCAAAATAGTCATGATGCATTTTCTGTTTTTCCATGCAAAAATGTATCATGACTTTCATGATAACCCAATAATATGATTAACCCAAATTGCCAGAATTATATATCTGGACAGGTTGTTGCTATATTAATTTTATTTGCTGAACACAGAATATGGTAGTTTTAGTTCTAATCCACTTTAAGTTCTAACCTATATCACAACTATAAAAGTTGTAACCATATCTATAATTAATATATATTAACATATTACCTTACTGGTCCTAAGTGACTTCGTTGCACAAAACTGGCAAATTATAGAAACTCATATATGTGCATTTAAAATAAATGCAGAAATGTCCAGTATCACTAGATCTGCTCACAAAGAACACACCTCAAAATCAAGGTAAATTAATGCATAAGTACTAATGGAAATCATAAGAAGGTTAGTTGAACTTAGAAAATCTCAAGAGATTCTAATACATCATCCTCCTAACTAGTGACACACATTTTACTATTAATCTAAGATGCTAAAACAAAAAAATCTAAGACATGAATTTTCTTCCACATTAAGAACCTTTGCAAAAACTCTTAAAGACTCCACCAAAAAATACTTAACAGGGCCAATAGGTGGCATGGTGGTTAAGGCACTGCACTCCCACATGGATGACTGCAGTTTAAATCCCAGACCTAGCAGCTTGCTTGCTAGCTTTCTCTCTCTCTCTCTCTCTGTGAGTAAATATGCATGACCTGTAGCAAATTAAAATATAGTACCAATGATAAATAAAATTATATAAATAACTCCTTAATGCTATAACTAATAAATTCTGTACAGTTGTAGGATACAAAATTAACATACAAAAGCCAATTGTGTTTCTATACTAACAATGAACTATCTGGAAAGCAAATCAAGAAAACAATCCCACTTACATTAATATTAAAAAGAAAATACTTAGGAATAAATTTAACTAAGGAGGTAAAGATCTGTACAATGGAAACTACAAAACATGAATAACTATAGAGGACACAAACAAATGAGAAGATATTCTATGCTCATGTATTAGAATAATTAATACTGTTAAAATGTTTATTCTAGGGGCCAGTGGGTGGTATGGTGGTTAAGGTGGTGGAGTCTCACATGGCTGACTGCAGTTTGAGTTCCAGACCTGGCAACTTGATAATCACACCAGGTATGTGTGTATGGCCTGCCTCACTGGTAGGGAGGGGGAAGGAGAGATTTCTCACTTTTCCTCTAACTGTCCCTCTCTGTCTCTCTTGTGAGCACATGCGCAATGGGAGGGAGGGGTGTTCATTCTACCACAGTGATCTACAAACACAATACCATCCCTATCATTTTCCAATGTCATTTTTCACAGAAACAGAAAAACAATCCTAAAATTCAAATAAAACAACAAAAGCTAAAGCAATCTTGAGCAAGAAGCACAAAGCTGAAGACATTATACTTCCTGATTTCAAAATATATCACAAAACTGTAGTAATTAAAACAATATGGTACTGGCATAAAAAAAATATAAAACAAAAAATCAAGTCACACATGTCCAGTCAACTTATTTTCCATAAAGAGGCCAAGAATATAGAGGGAAAATACTCATCAATAAATGGTGTTGGGGAAACTTAATTTCTTTTTCACTTGCATTATATACAAAAATCCATTAAAAATAGATTAAAACTTTAGTGTAATACCGACACCATAAAATTCCTAGAAGAAAACATAGAGGGAAGGCTCTTCGACATTGGTCTTTACGATTTTTATTTATTTATTTTCTTTTTTGGTTTAACACCAAAATCACAAGCAGCAAGTGCAAAAAATCAAACAAACAAGTGGGACTACATTAAGCTAAAAAGTTTCTGTACAGCAAAGGAGATAAATCAACAAAATAAAAAGGTAATGGGAGAAAATATTTGTAAATCTGATAATTCTAAAATACACAAAGCGCTCATTAAAAAATAAATAAACTAAATAATTTGGTTTTAAAAAGAGCAAGAAACTGAATAAACACTTTCCTCAAGAAGACACTGAAATAACGAACAGATATGAGAAAAGATGTTCAACATTGTTAATCAGGGAAATCAAAACCACAATGTGATATCACCTCACATTTAAGATCACAATTGTCAAAAAGGCAAAGAAAAAATAATAACAACAACAAGTGTTGATAAGGAAATCATTGTACACCATTGATGGTGATGAAAATTGCTAATCATTTTGGAAACAGTATGGTTTTCTCAGAAAATTAAAAATAGAACGACATAGGATCCAGCAATCCAATTTCTGGATATATATACAAAATAAATTAAATCAGTATATCAAAGAGATATATGCACTCCTGTGTTTATTGCTGCATTTTCTTTCTTCCTTTGGATTATTTTATTAAACTTTATTTATTATTATTATCATTATTATTTTCCAGTTTGATCAGAGAGAGACAAAGAGAGAGAGAGGAAGTGAGAAAGCAAGCCACCAGGTCCGAGACTTGAACCGTGGTTCAGCTATTTGGGAGTCCAGCGCCTTTAACCACCATGCCACTTGCTGGCCCCCTATTGCTGCATTTTCTGCAAAAGTCAAGATAGGGGAAAAACTTAAGTGTTCATCAACAGATGAATGGATAAGGGAAATGTGCCGTGCGTGTGTGTGTGTGTGAGAGAGAGAGAGAGAAAAGTGGAAGGAAATTCTGCTATTTACAATGACATGGATACTCTTTTTTTGGAGAGATTTTTTTCACTATAGGGCGCGTGCGCTCGCTAGACAGAGTCATAGAGACAGAAAGCGAGAAATCCCCCCCCTGGGGGGGATGGTCATGCCGCAATCCCTCCTCCTCCATTCTCCTCTCGGGATCTTGGGCATGCACGCACACGCACCCGGCGTGAGTTTTAAGCCGCCGGGTCTGGGACGCGAACCGCGGTCGACTACGTGGGAGTCCAGCGACATAGCCATTATGCTAACTGCTGGTTCCCATGACATGGATACTCTTGAGGGCATTGTGCTAAGTAAAATAAGTTAAATAATGCATGATCTCACATTTATGTGAAATCTAAAAAAAAAAAAAAAAAGTCAACACTTACTTTAACAGAGAGTAGAATGGGGGAACGGCCTGGCCGGCGCCCCCCCACTCCAGGGGGCGCGCCACGTGGCCGGGTGGGGC